GAGGAGGAGGAGGAGGAGGAGGAGGAGGAGGAGGAAGAGGAGGAGGAAGAGGAGGAGGAGGAGGAGGAGGAGGAGGAAAGAAGGAAGGCTGGGTTGTGGTGGGGGCTACATACCTTTAATCCCAGCACTCAGGAGGCATAGGCAGTCAGTCAGGCAGATCTCTGAGTTCAAGGTCAGCCTGGTCTACAGAGAGAGTTCCAGGACAGCCAAGGTTACACAGGGAAACCCTGTCTCGAAAAACAAACAAACAAACAAAAAAACAAACAAAAAATGGGAAGAAAAGAGAACTAGAATCATTTTTAAAATACAAGTTTTGTTTTTATTTCTATATTTCCTTAAGGAGGCCAAGACTTGCTAGAGCTAAGCAAGCCCCGTGCTCCAAGCAGTATCCCTTGGATTCTGTCTCTAACCTCACCCCTCCTCCTCACAAGAGAGAAAGAAGACTAAAAGAAAATCAGCAACTTACTGAAGGTACCACCTGGAGCGCAGAACAGCTGGTGAGCCACAGGCCTTGAACTGCCCAGCTCCAACTGACAGTCCATTCCAGCACAGAGAGGCAGAGGCAGGAGGGTCATGAATGCCAGCGATAGAGGGAGACACCCAGTATTGACTTCTGCCCCCTACCACACACAGACAAGTGTGCATGCATTTACACATACACACGCATACACCACACACCCATACATACCCACATATGCCATGCACACACATAGTCACACATTCAACACACACACTCACATATACAATACATACACACATACACACACAAAACCACATACACTACATACACACATTTACATCCCCCCATATCACATATAAACACAACACACACATAGGTCACACAAACATGCATACACGCATGCAAACCCACATATACCATGCACACTCAAGACACACACACCACTCACACATAGAATACGTATACACATGCACACACGTATACGACACACACATACAAACCCACATACATTACATACACTTACACCCACCTACACCACACATCATACAACACACACTTGTAGATCTCACACACACACACACACACACACACACACACACACACTTGTAGATCACACACACACACCATATACACCACACATTTTAAAAACAAAACACTACTTTTAAAAAAAATTTTATTTATTTTATGTATATGAGTACATTGTCACTGTCTTCAGACACACCAGAAGAGGGCATCAGATCCCATTACAGATGGTTGTGAGCCACCATGTGGTTGCTGGGAATTGAACTCAGGACCTCTGGAAGAGCAGTTCATGCTCTTAACCACTGAGCCATCTCTCCAGCCCCAAAACACTACTTCTTAAGGTGTTTAGCTAACCCTTGAGTTGAAACAAGCTGAGTCGTAGCAGTATGGACTGTCTTTTTGTAATGTTAAGACCATTATGGATCAAACAACCTTACAGGACAAAGGAACTGGTGTTAGTTCAGGTCCCTTTGAGTCATCCTGTTGGCTACTCAGTATAAGGGATACACACTTCCTAAAGCCATCCCTCCCCTCCAGGGGCTTCAAAAGTTCACACTCTCCAAGTCAAGGCCTCCTGTAGTCTTGCCTTTTGTGCTGAGGCATCTTCGTGTCACTGAATGTGGGACCCTTTTACACCCATCTCTCTGCTGGGACTCTCCAGTGCCATGTAACCTTTGATGTCTCTGTCCCCTTTGTTTCAGGTGCCTCTTTTCTGTGTGATTTACTTTCAAACTGTCCTTCCTGTACCTTCTTAGCTCTGTCCAATCTCCAATTAGCTCTTGTCCTGTTCAGAGGACACAGGCAATGTCCCCCACCTCTTCATCATCCCCCTGCACACTGGATCATGTAGCTGCAGCCAGGCTCCCTCCCGGCTCCTTGGAGCCAACCTCCTTGACTCTGCTGGACATCAGTGTTTCTCAAAGGGCATCTGCAAGCTCGCCTCCCCTTGGCCCTGTTATGGGCTCATTAACCAATCATCAGTAAATAGACACAACCGCCTTTGCTGTTTTCCTGTTACTCTCAGTGTCCAAACTCCATCTGCAATGAATCCAAGCTATGATAGTGTGGGGGAGGCACAGGATGTGCTTCTCCAGAGCAGCTGGATGAAGCACCCTATCTCAGCCTCCTGAGAGAATGGAGACCCGCCTTACCTCTCCAACTTGCCTCAGTCTGTGACTCAATTGCCTTTCAAGAAACTTTACTAAAATCGTGTGGTCATCTGTCTATGCAATATTCAGTGATTGGTTAGGATAGTGGGGCAGCTTCCAGAACATGCTAAGGACCCATGTGACAAGACAATTAGTATAGACATTCTACAGTAGAGAGGCTTTAACCAGAAAGGCCCAGATTTCAGTATCAAGTATCAACTGTGCCACTTACTGAGAGACCACGAGACAGTTAATTAACATCTCTGAGCCTCCTTTTCCTCACCCATCAAAAGGCAATGAGGATCCCAGCAAAGACTTGAGTGTGGGGAAGCCAAATGAACACTGTGACAGCTCAGCTGTTCGTCAGTGTGACTAGGCCTCTGGGCACTCAGATGTGTGGTCTGACATCATCCTGTGAGCCAGATTTAGACTGGATGACATTAACATTTTGACAGCAGGTGGAGTAAAGCAGATTGCCCTTTCCAGTGTGGAGAAATTTCTCTAATCAAACGAAGGCTCACAGAAAAAGAAGAAAAGCAGGAGAGAATTCTGCTGTGATGGCCTATGGGCTGTATCGCCTTGGCTTTCCTGAGGCTCCAGCTGAACACAGAGCCCATATGCCTCTACTGTGGCATGAGCCTCTTGCTGCCCTAACTCCCTCCCCCTTCTGTCTACACCTAAGTGGATACTGGTACTGGTCTGGTGATTCCTGAAAGTGTAGATCCTTCCTGTTCTGTTTTCCTGGACGACCCTGGCTAATGTGCCGTAATGCACGAAATGACAGCTCCTGCTTAGTAACCATGGAAGCTGAGTCTGTTCACTGCCTTTATCACTGCATATACATGTGGCCAGCCTCTCCTTAGCTCCATGTCTCAAGACACTCACTGGGCTTTCTTTTAAAACTCTGGGCCCACATGGAGCACACATATACACACACATACAACACACACAACATACACACACAAACACACTTGCATTGCATACAGACCCATGTGTCTATATATTTACACAAACAAATGCACACACAGAAGCCTACATGTACACACACTCATGAAAACACACACCCATAGATCATACATGCACACATACAGACATACACATATACACATGCACATATGTACATATATACACAGAGACCCACACATATACACATGAACACATGTACACGGGCAAACCCACATGCATATGCATACATGCAGACTCACACATACACATGTATATACATATATAAACATACATATGCACACATGTACATATACATACAGAAACTCACACATACACTTGCACATATACAAATAGACCCATGCGTACTCAATGCACACACTAGAGATACCCATGGATGCACATATAACATATGCATGCATATATAACACATACATGCACATATGCTTGCACATGTTCAAGTCTTTGAGTCAGTTCTGAATCCATTGATAGGAGACAGGGTGCCTTTAGCTGCTGAATATTCATTATGAATTTCTACATCAGCTTTTCTCTTCTTGGTGGTGAGCCTCTGGTTCTCAGAGCCCCTGGGACTCTGAGGTTACATTCAGTCATGCTCCTCCCCCAAGTCTGTTCTGCTGTGTCCAGGAGGGAAGGAAGGCCTTAGCCACTGGGGACAGCTTCCCAGGGCACTGGTCAAAGAGAGGCTGACTAGAGAGTGTGGCCTGTGGAAAGGTCCCAGGAACACGTAGTTTCCATGCTCACTTGTCATCTCTAACCTCCCACCTGATCCCAGGTGGCCCTCAAAGAAATGTTCAGGGCTTAGCTGGTCATGAAGGACTGGGTGGGGGCATTCACTCGGCCTCAGCCTCATGACAGCCGACCACGTGATTCTCCATGGTAATCAGCAAGGCTGCTGTGTCCCTTCACAAGTAGCTCAGACCTAGATAGACAGGAAGCCTGAGTCGGTCGGGCTGGGGTCCTGCAGTCAGCTACAAACCAATGTCAGGCATGGTACAAGCCTGTGAAACACGTTCCTCCACACAGCTCCAACCGTGAGGCCTAGAACAGGACTCTAGCATCCCCTTTCAGACAAGCTTCCCAAAGATGGCGGCACAGACACAGCCGTGTAACAGAGGTAGTAGCCTTAATGAAGAGATTGTGTGTCCCTAACTGGAGGCAGACCTATGCTTTTGAATTGTGTGGCTTTAGGTCATTGTTTGGTCTCTGTGGCCTTAGTTTCCTCATCTGAGACATGGGAGTGATCAAGCTGCCTTCAATGATTTTTGGGAATATTAAAGCAATAGGTTTCAATGATTTGAAAGTCTTCACATACCCCCACCCTCACCCCATCAAAAAAATGCACATTGAATCCCAACTGGGAGGTTATAGAGAGAAGTTGAACTGACTATGTCTCCAAAAGGTGGCACTTCCTCAGTTACTCTAGTTCTCATAAAGCCATGAGATGAGCCTCGTTAGGGCGGGGCCCTGACACAACGCACTTATGAAACAGGGATGAACTAAAGCTTTAACACCCAATGTCACCTCCAGGCTCTTCAGAGGCCCCACCAGCAGGAAGCACCTCACCAAATGGAGCTGTCTGGTCTTAAACTTCCCAACCTTCCAACCTGTGTGCTGAAGAACAGTGTTTTCCCTGTAAGGTACTCAGCCTGTGGCATTCAGTCACACCGACAGAAGATGGCCGAAGATGCCGCCCGTTAGTAGCGGATCAGTGTCAGGATTACTACTGAAGGAGTGCCTGCTCCTTATGAAGCTTCCCTTCAAATATAGAAGGAAGAACGAGGGGACACATCTTTCTTTGGGTACTGTGTCTTTTAGGCCTCCAAAGCACTCTTTCTCCAAATGACTCTGCTACACGCCATGTGTAGGGGAACTTTACTGAGTACCTGGTATGTCTGGCTCTACCAACAGTTCCTACCATGGTCAGTATTATTCCCATTTTAATGTAAGAAAATGTCATTGTATCTTGCCCAGGTGACAGGTCCATCAATGACAAAGCTGGGATCTGAAAACAGATCTCACTGGGGTACCATTGTTGTCCCTTGTCCACAATGCTGAGTGATCTTGTCACCAATATATCCCTGATATGTTCTTATTTGTCCAGTCAGAGATTCAGGTCAGTATTTCTAGGCAAAATCTGCCTGTAGACGTAAGTCACACAGACAACACATTCTTCTATGACTGCTAGTAAGAAGCACTAATACATGCTTTAACTCACTCACCTTCACTGAACAACAAGCCCCCAGAGAATCATGTTTGATTACAATTTAAAACAACATTTTACGTTAGGGCCACAGGCTAAGAGCATTTGCTGCTCTTGCAGAAGACCTCGATTCAGATCGCAGCACCCAGAACCCAGATGGTGGTTCACAGTAATCTATAAATCCAGTTCCAGGGGATCTGATGCCTTCTTCTGGTTGCCTTGGGTACTGCATGCATGTGGTGTACATAGAATCACACAGGTTCACATATATACATATAGAGAATGGGGATGCCCCTTCATTCTCTGAGGGATACCTCTCATTTCCCTCTCAACTCTGTGACCAGAACCCCACAGACTTTGTCGACACCTTCAGATGAGATTGGAATTGTCATCATGTCTCTTTCACAGAGTGTTGTACCCAGCAGAACCCCATTGTGCAGGGTTCCTGGTGCTGACAGGCACAGGCTTTGCATAAAGTAGGAGCCTGAGGAATGTGTCTTGAATCTTGAGAATCACTATTGCCATGGCTTTTTTTTGGGGGGGGGCACGGGCTCTCACTATGTAGCTGACTGTCCTGGAACTCACTCTGTAGACCAGGCTGGCCTTGAACTCACAGAGCTCCATCTGCCTCTGCTGCCTGGATGCTGGGATTAAAGGCTCAAGCCTCCCACACCCAGATACCATGGCCTTTTTAAAGGTGAGGAGGAAACCGAAAACCCCCATTTTGTTCAAGGAGCCCTTCTCTGGAGAATGCTCACTTCCAATTAGAGGAGGGGGTGTCTCAAAATAAAGAAATAGAAAGAAAACAAAAAGGAGGGGAAGAAGGCAGCTGGGTCAGTGGAGGAAAGAATTCAGAATGTTCACATGCTCCTGGACACCTGTGCCAGTCAGGGTCTCCAGGGGAACAGATCCAGTGGAATAAATTAGATAAATTAGATAGTAAAGGGGAATTTATTAGAGCATTTACAGGCTGGGGTCCAGGTAGTCCATCAGTGGATGTCTCATCAGAAAAACTGAGAACCCTACAGTTGTTCAGTCCATGAGGCTGTATATTTCAGCAGCCCCAATCTGGTGCTGGAGTCTTGGAGGATTCCTGGAGAGCTGTTGGTCTTCTATCTACATTAGAATCTGGATTTAATACCTACCAAAGCAAGAGTAGATGAATTTGCCAGCAAGAGTGAAAGCAAGCAGGCCAAAAGCAAGACTTTCTTTCTTCCATGTTCATTTATGTGGGCTTCCACCAGAAGGTGATGCCAAACCTGTAGGGTGGAGCTTCCTGCTTCAAATCAGAATATGAAACTCTCTCTGGAGAGGTGGCTCAGTGGTTAAGAGCACTTTTTTTGTTTGTTTGTTTGGTTGGTTGAGTTTGTCGACAGGTGGATTTCTGAGTTCGAGGCCAGCCTGGTCTACAGAGTGAGTTCCAGGACAGCCAGGGCTACACAGAGAAACCCTGTCTAGAAAAACCAAAAAAAAAAAAAAAAAAGAAGTCCACCTGTCTCTGCCTCTTAAGTGCTGGGATTAAAGGCGTGCACCACCACATGTCTTAACCATTTTGAGTTCAATTCCCAGCAACCACATGATTGCTCACAACCATCTGTAATGGGATCTGATGCCCTCTTCTGGTGTGTGTGAAGACAGCAACAGTGTACTTGTATACATTAAATAAATAAATAAATAAATAAATAGAAATGAAACTCTCTCACAGGAGCGCCCTATAGGGTTTAGTTGATTCCAGATACAGTCAAGTTTACGACCAAATGAGCTATCACCGCATCCCTAAATTTTTTAAGTGTTTCAGCCTTAGCAAATGTTTTTCAAGGATCCTGCTGTGTATTTTGGTGTTACAACTGGTGGAGAGACACCAGACAAGAATGACAGACTGTCACAAGTCTAATAGAACTGATGTAGTACAAAACCCGGGCAGGGGTGGGGTAAGGATGAGTGGGGGTGGGGTTCAGGCCCAGCAATGATGCCATCAATGACAGGTAAACTTCTACTTGTTACGTTGAGAGCCGCTCTTCTCTTGCAGCCAAAGCATCACATAGATTAAATGTGTCACATTTGAGAAACTTTTTCTCATTATTGTCTCTCCACATAACTTAAAACTAATTTTAACGGTTTTCCAAAGGAGCCCATCGTTTAGAGAGGGATGGAAAAGAAGGATGGTTTATTCATCACACCAACTGTCTTTGCACTATAAGTCAGAAATAACTGAATAGCAAGACGTGCAGATCATCGCTGGGCAAAAGTGGCACACGCCTTTAATCTCAACACTCTGGAGGCAGAGGCAGGCAGATCTCTGAGTTCAAGGCCAGCCTGGTCTACAGAACAAATTCCAGGATAGCCAGGGCTACACACAGAGAAACTCAGCCTTAGCAAATAAGTCTCACAAAAAGGAAAAAAGAAAAAGAAAAGGAAAAAGGAAAGTGCAAGTCACAGCCTCTACCAGGAGCAAAAAGCCCAGAACTAAGATGCAGTCATCCTGCCCTCCTGCCTGCCCACCCTCCCCCCACCCTTGCCATTTCCTGCTGCCTTCCACAGAAAGCTATTTTATTCGTTTGTCTAAATAGATATTAATAAACTCAAGGACTTCTGCTGTGCCCTTCCCCTCAGCACAAGCAAGACAGACTTACTCTCTTCTGTTCAATTGATTTATTTTTCCATTAGTTCCAGTTTGCGTTTCTTGGGTCACACGTGAAGAACTGCATGTGTACCGGATACACAACTTAGACATTCGCATTTTGTTTGTTCCTCCAGGACTGCACTGATCTTGTTAATAAACAAATCCTGTCCAGTGGAATTAGCAATGGAACGTTGTCAAAACAGGGTGAAGAGGATGGGAGCTTCAGAGACAGATCTGGGGGACTGGGGTCTCGCTCAGTGGCAGAGCACTTGTCTGTACTGTGTAAGGTCCTGGGTTTGGTCCTCGGTATTATATATACATATATACATGTATACACACACACATACATACAAACAATAACTTACAACTAAGGCAGAAATGGGAAGGGGCAGTGAGGAAGAATTGTGTAATTGTATTAACAAACCTAAAATAAAATGCAACACATAGCTGGGGTGGGGGTGGCACACACCTTTAATCCTGGCACTCAGGAGGCAAAGGTAAGTGGATCTCTGAGTTCAAGGTCAGCCTGGTCTACACAGTGAATTCCAACATAGCCAGGGCTAACAGAGAAACCCTGTCTTGAAAAAACAAACCAGCCGGGCAGTGGTGGCACACACCTTTAATCCCAGCACTTGGGAGGCAGAGGCAGGCAGATTTCTGAGTTTGACGACAGCCTGATCTACAGAGTGAGTTCCAGGACAGCCAAGGCTATACAGAGAAACTCTGTCTCAAACAACAAACAACAAACAACAAACAACAAACAAACAAACAAACAAAAAACCAACCGACCAAACAAACAAACACCAAAGCAAACCAACCAACTAAAATTGGAACAAGCAATAAAGAGAATAGACTCCTCAGGTGCATCCTTCAGAGGCTGCAATCCATGGTCTTTTTGCCCAATTACTTTTGGCCTGTCGGGAGGCAGGCATCATAGCAATAGTGTATAGTATAGCCAAACCATTCACTGGGGGATTGATGAGATGGCTCAGCAATTAAGAACACTGGTTGCTATTGCAAATGATCTGGGCTTGATTCCCAACATCCACAAGACAGATCTTCAACTTCAGTTCCAGGAGATGTGACACCCTCTGGCTTTCAAGACACGAGGCATGTGAGTGGTGCACAGACATTTATGAAGGTAAAACAGGGATACACATAAAATAAAAATAAATAAAATATTTATTTACAGTGGAGAGGCCATTCACTCTGTCACCAGGAAGCAAAAGATCTGATTTCCACAATCCCCTTTGGAGAGCATGCCTTCAAAAACTTCAAGACCCCCTATTTGGCTTCACCTCTTAAAGATTCCACCTCCCCTCTCCAATAGCAACAAGATGGTTGGGTGGCCACCACATGAGCCTAGGAGATACATGCCTGATCCAAGCTGCAACCAGGACCATGGGCAGCCATGGTCTTACCCCATCATAGGGATGGAAGTATATAACTTAGGTATATGGATACTGCCTTCTGCCTGCCCACCCAAGTTGTCAGCATCCTGATGCCTTCCTGTCTAGAGTTCAGGGACCCTGGAAGACATTGGATCTTGTGCTTCTTCTTCTTCTCCTTCTTCTTCTTCTTCTTCTTCTTCTTCTTCTTCTTCTTCTTCTTCTTATTCTAATTCTTCTTCTTCTTCCTCTTTTTTTTTTTTTTTGAGTTTGGCTCAGAGCAAGCATCCCCTTGAATGGCTTCCTTGTTGCTCAACAGTGTCCGATTTTTTTTCTTCCTAACACACAAATCCAACAACTCCCCACTTCCTAATGAGTGCCTACGTCCTGCATCTCCAAGACAACCATCTCAGGAGCTCCCAAAAGATTCTCTAAGCATTAAGAGCCCCAAGAGACCATGCAACCAATCAGCAGGGGGCTGGGATGGGGAGGGGGGCACAACAGACCCTTAGGCTCTGTAAGAGCAGTCAACCTGCTTCCCTGTTGAGCCGGTACTAGGGAACTGAGTGGAAAGGAAGCCACGAGGTCCTAAGGATCTGCTAATAGTGATGCTGTGGACATTAAAAACACAAGAGAGGCCGGGCGGTGGTGGCACACGCCTTTAATCCCAGCACTCGGGAGGCAGAGGCAGGCGGATTTCTGAGTTCGAGGCCAGCCTGGTCTACAGAGTGAGTTCCAGGACAGCCCGGGCTATACAGAGAAACCCTGTCTCCAAAAAAAAAAAAAAAACCACAAGAGAGTTACACTCTCCTCTCAGCCCATCACTCGACCAGAGCCCACCGAGGCTGGAACTCCAGTTTGAAACTGCCCTGGGACTCATCTGTTGAGCTCTGTGATCCAAGCTAGTTGCTTTAGTTTTTGTTACTGAAAGTGTTGGATGTCTGATCTTAAATTCTTGCAAACAGAAGGGTTCTTGACACTAAGCGGTGATCTGGGCACGCTGTAGTCATGGTAATGCTCAGAGACTTGGTAATTCTTGTGTTTATGTGCACAACTAAGATTCATAGAAAACGGCTGAAACATACAAGGGTGGAGATAATCACCTTTGTTCTGAGGGCATGAAGCCCACCCAGGAGAGATGTGCCACGTTTCAAAAGGTTATAGAATTCTAAGCAATATTTTTCGGTATTTAGAAATGTGTCCCCTCCCACTGTAACACATGTTGGGCAAACACTCTACAGCTGACTATATCCCCAGCTCTCATTTTATTTTTTATTTTGAGACAGTGCCTTTACTAAGTTGCCCAGGCCAACCTTGAACTTACAACCCTCCTGCCTCAGCCTCCCTGGTAGCTGGTATACATCTGTACCACTAGGCCCTGATTGGATACTCTTTTAGTCATGAATTTTTTAATGTTCTTAACTTTCTTTGATATTGTACGTCTGGGCAGAGGTGTCCTTGGGTGGAAGAGTAATGGTCTG